CATTGCTAATTGTGAAAGCTGTGAAAGTTGAAAATGGTGAAGTGTTACCTGTTACTTCTAACCAGTCTGGAAGCATGTCTTCAAGTTCTATGAGTGGATTGAGATCATCAATGAGGAAGGTTGTTGACCAACTTAGAGGACCTAAATGTGGAAGATACAGTAATAAGGTTTGTCTTGCTTTCTTTTGTTATTTTGTGCTTAGGTAAAATTTTCAGAAATTCACTTGTAGTTTGTTTTGTACCAGGGCATTTTTCCTTATGATCTATTTGTAAAGTTATACTCTCACAAGGTGGATTTGCAACCATGCGGACTCATCAATTGCGGGAACAGGTGCAGACTAAGCACATAATTAGGTTATTTTGGTACCATGTTTTATGTTTGTAAATTTGGGCATAATTTTTGTTTGTCCAAAGCATTCGAGATAAGCACATTCTTATTCTGTCTATATCGTTTTACTGTGGCTGGATGAGGGGGCATCTAAATGTTTTCTGTAAATGTCCTGCACAGCTATTATTGACACACTCTTTGATCCATTCTTGCAGCTGCTATGCTAATGCTGTTCTTCAGTGCTTGTCATTTACACCTCCTCTGACTGCTTATTTTTCCCAAGGACACCACTCTAAAGCCTGTATGATTCTTAATGGTTCACGTCTATCTTTTAAGCTTCAAAAATAATCTTCTGTTTTTAATCATATGTTATCTGAGGGTTTCTTTTTAATATCAGGTGTAAGGAAGGGATGGTGTTTCACTTGTGAGCTTGAAAATCTGGTTTTGAAGGCTAAGGAAGGGAGAAGCCCACTCTCTCCCGTTTCTATACTTTCACAACTACAGAACATTGGAAGCAACCTAGGTAATGGGAGAGAAGAAGATGCACATGAATTTTTGAGGTTGGTGTATGACTCTGTTTGGTATACTCCCTAAAATTACATGTTTTTAGCTGCTGTTTTCTCAATTTGGTTTTCCATCGTAGCTTTCTAAACCGTCAGGTAACTTTCTAGGTTTGCTATCGACGCTATGCAATCTGTTTGCCTGAAAGAAGATGGAATTAAAGCAGTGGGCTCAACAGAAGAAGAAACTACCCTTATTGGCCTGACATTCGGGGGCTATCTAAGATCAAAGGTAACTATTTAGCATTCAGCTGGATGACTTGGTTCAGCTCACCCCCAAACCTTCAGGTGTTGGTACTTGTTCTCCCCTGTAATTGTCCAACCCCCGAATCTTGTCTCTAGCCTTTTGTCCTTGGATACTGCGTTTGAATTGAACCGAATAACCTGTTGCGATAATGTGTAGTGCAGCCAGTGTTGATTCTTAACATTTATATGGTTTTTTGCAGATAAAATGCATGAAGTGCCACTACAAATCAGAACGGCAAGAAAGAATGATGGATCTCACAGTTGAAATCGAAGGGGACATAGGCAAGCTAGAAGATGCGCTCAGGCGATTTACTAGTACTGAGATTCTAGATGGGGAAAACAAGTACCAGTGCGGCAGGTTGGTCATGACTTTGCTTTGTACTTATGTTTTAATTGATTTGTATCAATCGTGTTATTTTAGAGTTTAGACACCATATTTGGACAATTTCACCCTGCAATGCTTTATAGATTTTGTTGTTGTATATACTGACCTGGTAATGCATTTGAACCTTAGATTCACTGCATGTAAGTTACCGCCTCGCTATCTTTTGGTGCAGAAATTTCAGAACTTGGAATATTTTTATGAGACTGGTGTTGATTCATGACTTCTGTGCTTGATGCATGGTCATTTTTGTATGGTTAACCTTACAGCTGTATCACTTTGTGATATTTCGTTCCTCAGGGGATCTCTGTTGGATGTAGATAGTACTTAATAATATGGTCTCCCCAGAGTCTGGTGAACAAACGTGACTTGCACATTTGTTTCAGAATTGTAGAATATGCTTAATTTCCCCGATTATGTTAACTTCTCACTGCCCAGCTCAGTATATGCAAAATGATTAGCTTGACGGATGTATATTTTGACCTATAAGTTAGCTAAATGCTGCTGTTACATGTCTGTTGTGTCCTCTGATTCGCTTTGTTGTTGTAACGCTATTTAGATGCAAATCTTATGAGAAAGCCAAGAAGAAGCTGACAATATTGAAGGCACCTAATATACTTACAATTGCTTTGAAGAGATTCCAGGCAAGTCTCTTACTTTAAATACTTTATAATGCATCTAGACTAGCAGCTTTAATCTGACTAAGTCTTGCTTTGCAGTCGGGTAAATTTGGAAAGCTCAATAAATCGATTCGGTTCCCTGAGATCCTGGACCTGGCACCATACATGAGTGGTACAAGTGATAAATCGCCAATTTACAGGCTCTACGCGGTGATCGTTCACCTAGATGTAATGAATGCTTCATTTTCTGGTCACTATGTGTGCTATGTTAAAAATAGCCAGAATAGGTGGTTCAAGATTGACGACAGCACGGTATGTTCTATATGTACATTATGATTTTCTTTTTCCATTGAGAAGAGTTTTTATTTATGTTTCCCTGTGTATTGTTTTCAACTATGCATCGAGGCATAGCTATATCGCACCTTCTATCTTCTTCAAGTAACTTCAGCTGTTACTGTTTTACTCCACATGTGGATTTGAGTGTAAACTCACCTTCTATAAATGGGAACCCCTGCCTAGTGAATGAATGATTCACATCTCGAGGATCTTTGGAAAAGGCTGTGTGACAATTTAGTAACCTTTAAAATTTATTGCTAATCTGCGAAGCTTTTCACTGTTTCTTTATTTTGGTTTAGACACTCTAAATAAAATGAAATTGTCCATTACCTCTCATTTGCTTCTATTGTTTAATCAGGTAACAACTGTTGAACTGGAAAGGGTCTTGAGCAAAGGTGCATACATGCTTCTTTATGCAAGGTAAGGATAAATTACGTTCGCTTTTACATCCCTTCAAAACTTCTTTTAATTGGTCAATGTAGTGTAAGTTGACTGATTGATTTTTCTTCTTGCAGATGCTCTCCCCAGGCCCCACCAGGGTTGATAAGGAATGGAACAGTACTGTCTCCTGATGTGAAGAATAATAAAAGCAGCAGTGCTTCTAAAATCCACCCGAAGGCGGGAGTAATAAGTTGGAGATCAAGTGGCGATCATGAGTTGCTTCAACATCAGCCCAATTCAGTAGCGTCTTCTCTGGATAATGAAGCAGCAAGTGTGGAATCTTTCTATTTGAAGTTCCACCGGTTGCAGAGGATCTTGGAAGAGGACTCCTCATCTAGCGACAATTACTCGTTCACCAGCAGCAATAATTCTGATGAAGGCTCGTGCAGCACTGATAGCACCCGGGATTCCACGAGTGCTGATGATCTTTCCGATTACATTTTTGGGGGTTGGAACAGTAGCACTTGGAGGAAAGCAGCTGCAGATTTTGACGCCGCCACGGCATCTTCATCATCGACTTCTTCATCTCCGTTGTACTCGAGGCATTCGCCCCTTTCCAACACAGACCGGGATGCTTCAGCAGCAGGGTTTGCAGAGACATCTGGAAGTCATTGTGGTGATGTTTGGGAGAATAGGGCGGGGAGCAGGAGGGTAACGGAAGGAGGTGACCTTCGGTTTTACCACGCTGACACGGTTAAGCATAGTGCTCATCGTAGTAGGAAATTAGGTAGTAGTAGTTGTTGTAGAGAAGCTGACTCGGAGAGATTAGTAGGACGGGTTAGTAGCAAGTTGTCTTCAAATGATGTAAAATCTGGTGTACCCTTTAGGAGATCAGTGAGCGACAGAACAGATTAAGCAGCCATTTGTAATTTTATTAGCTGGGAACCGGCGGCATCAATTGGAGTTTAGGGTTGGGGAGGGGTAAATAAAGTGGTGTTGGAGATGGGGAAAAGGGATTTAGGGGCTGAAGTGGTAGTAGTTTTTCCACTCTGTGTGACTGGAAAATCAGCTCAGCCGTCACCATTTTGTCGAAGTTCCCTTTTCCCCCACTGCTGCCATGATTTAATTTCTCTGTAATCTGTATATAGGGACGATTCCTTGAAGAGTGTATAGTGCAGCCCAGAAGAAGAGAAGAGGGTCCGTGGAAATGTTGTATAACGGAGATTTTAAATGCTGAAATTAGATATATAATAATGATTTATGTTCCACCGTAGTCTGTGTCCTTTTCTCTTTAGCTTTTGAAGAGCATTGCCTTGGTTAAATTTGGCGGAGTTTTTTTTCCCCCCAATGACAATAAAACCCTTCCAATGAGGTGCAACTAACTCAAGAGGAGGACTTTATGTATTGACAATTGACATCCTCTATTACAGTTAGTTCAAGGTACTGCTCTAAACTTTATACAAACACTGAGAATAAAATAGGAAAAGAATCTCAAAGCACAGGCCTTCCAATGGAATCCAGAACCACTTCCTGATGAATAGCCGCTTTAGAATGTATTTCGACAATGACCCGTGACAGTCTGTTTGGAGATGGAAAAACGATATTTGGTCAAGTTTACCAGATAAGATTAGCCTAATGCCTTCCTATTTTCTTTGTTCATGAATAACACACGAGACTCGTAAAATCCTGTTTATTAAGAAAAAAAAAATCGTAAAAATGTCTCATCCAAGTATAATCGCATTCAAGAGTTTGAATTTATAAACAATTAGTCTAGTTGTATGAACAAAGTAAATGCGAGAAATGGTTACCATTTGCTTGCATCGATATACGATGGTAAATATCTAGAGATGGCAACACGCGGGACTGAGCGAGTATCTCAATACTCATATCTGTTCCGTATTAAGCACGAGTGAGGGCGGATCTGGTCGACCCATTATTATAAAAATAAATGAATGAGAATTATATGTTCCGTTTGAAAAAAAAGCTAATATTTAACTTTTTTTTACAAGAACACAAAAAAATAAATAAATGAGAATTATAATAGAAACAATAGTTGAGTCTAAGGTAGAGTATTAAAATTTCCTTGGGATGTGATTTCAGAAAAAATATCCACCCATGGACCAACTAAAATGACCGAAAACCATAAATAGAAATGGAATAATTTTCTTTTCAATATAAAAATCACATGATGAAGTATAATAATTACACTAAGCATAAAAGGGTACAAAATCGATACACAAAAGTAATAAGACAAACGTATTTGATAACACAAATTAAAATGCTGGTATTCAAATCAAACCAGACCTCATATGGCTAATGAGGGCATGAGCAACTAGTAGATGTAGCCGCCACCACCTTCAACAGGTAGAATAAGTAGCAGAAAGATTCAAGGAGTAGTGGGTTGTTCTGCTACTTTTGGAAGTTGAGGTTTTGTTATCTCGGGCAGCTCCAAGTTTTGGGAAAGGTGGGAGCTCAGGTTTTAGCAGTTCTGGAACTTGAGGCTTGGGGAAAGGAGGGTCTGATGGACAAAAAAATTACATTTGACGACACGATTTGCATCGACAAAATTGAACAAGTCGGAGATAACAAGGTACATCTTCATATGCAAGACAGAAATCCATGAGAGTCTGTACCTACCAAGTATTTCTTCTGTTTGGATGAAAGATACAGCACCCAGGGAAACGGTTAACCGGTTACCACTCCTCTGAATGAACGAATCGTCGTCATCATCATATGCGTGCGACATAGGAGTTGGCCTGGGTTACATGGAAGTTACAATCATCAAGAATCACCGACCCAGAACCCGATGAACTCCTATAATCTGTAAAGCAAGTGGTAAATTTGAGATGAGGTGAAGTTGACATTCCTCTTAAAAATCCTAAAATCATTGGCATTGTTCCTATAAAACTAGAAATGAAATCTGCTAAGTGGATATGAACATGCAAATTGAACTGAACACCCGTAAAATCTGCATGTAGGTACTACATCACTAGTTCGTGTTAATCAATGCATTCCACAGCTATCCTTTAAACTAACCTTAGTCTAAAAGGTATTATGCAAACCCTACAAGAACTCAGCATTAAGTAGGTTATTGAAACTTAGTTTTTTTTACTCTAAAATTACAACATCTTCCACACACATCATGGACGCGGCATCTTAATATCTACAGCAATTTTGATGAGAAAGTTTGATAAACAAAAATGTAGAAGATCCAACATCAGATTTTGAGATCAAAACATAACTCTCTTTCTCTTGTCACCCTTACTGAAGATTGCATAGATATCCATGTAGCAAAAAGGTAGCATAACTTCAGAGTTAAGAGGAGTACAACCAATACTTACACTGGAGCTGAACGTCACACTGATTTTCTCAGTTATGTCCACAAATATTTCCTCCCTCTTCCTACCCCCAGGGTCATTTGCAACCACTGATTTTGTTACTGCGGTACCTGGCATGCGTTTGGTCCCTTGCTGCGAGCATTAAGTGTCCATGAATCAAACAAACCAGTTGAGTGACAGAACAACCAACAAAGATGTCACCTGATCATAGAATCATACCATGAACATGGAAGCAGGATTGAGAGGTTGCAATCAATCACAATGGGCTCATTAAAGACATATGACTTCAAAACTTCCGTAGATGTAGTTTGTACATAACCAAAATCCTGGAAACAGAAGTCAACAGTGTAGAGTGTAAAATATCCAGCCATTACTGAGCTTCACAGATGTAACAAGGTTCACAATGGTTTTACAGAAGAGAGATATCCAATCAAACCCTAAAGGAGTGCAAACTCCAGTTTGCTGCAACCAAAACTTACAATGACTTGAAAAAATACACGAGACAACCCAGAAATAGTATCACATGAAGCAAAGAGCATGACACGGGACCGTGTAGAAGCATTCTTCCCTCAGTTATGAATAAATCCACGAAAGTGCTAATTGACTGAGAAGTCGGAAAAACAAAATGAAGGGCTGCTTTCACCAAAACCTAACATCTTCAGCTTCAAAACCTAACATCCTTGATTCCCACTAATAACGTCAGCAAAATCAATTATCTACTCAACTAATGGCCGCCCTGAGTTTCCAGACAGAGCTAACTTTAGTCTTTGTGATTCGAAGTTGATACTGCACAACAGCAAGGGCATGGCCAGCTAACTGATACTACTACCCCAACATTATTCAGAAACATAAAACCTACAAAGACAGGTGGCGCTTCTTCTTCTCCATCATCTTTCCAGAACCTGAAAAATATCTCCGCACTCCCCTTTTGCACATCACCGCGATCTGCAATTCACCAAACAAACACAGATGCTCAACTACTTGGCAGCGCAGAAATGCACACACCTGTACTTGAGTAACAGAGAATTGCCCCCTCCCCTGGTTATCAAGCGTAATATAGAAATCAAGCAAGACAGCGAAAACAAATATATATCAGATGTCCAGTTTCTCCCATGGCTCTTTGCGACTACGACCGACTCCAAATCCTTCTCCCATTGTCATCTGTCACTCGACATCGAATCATTAACTGCCCTTAGTTGCTCAGTGTGGATGACAATGGTTTATTCTATACAGCAGGAGTCTGTTTCGACCGTATGTAAGTAATACCATCAGTTAGAAGTTGAGCGATTCTTGGATCAAGTTCGAATTGAAATAGCATATTCATCTTGAATCAACCTATGAATCAAGTTCGCTCCCGAATGGAACTGGATCATTCTCCACTCTAATGCTAGGCCAGTTAAAGCGATTTTTGGATCAAGTTTGGATTGAAAGGCATTGTATCAGATGCATCTTCAATCTACCTTTGAATCAAGTTCGATTCTGGACTTAACTGGATCATTCTCCACTCTGATGCTATGCAACATGACAACATTTATGGAATACGTAGAGGAAATGAGGGATGAATGAAGCATAGCCTATGGCGCAATCATGTTCATGGTGGGCATCTCTCTGTTACAATATGACAGCTCATGCCAACCAACTTGTGAATAGTAAATGCCTAAATGGCAGGCAGGCAGGCTTCAGAGTTTGAGGGGCCTCCAAACGAACCTGCCAGATCTTGTTTCAACTAGCAAATCAACTGTTACTTGGTCGTGCTGGTTCAATCACATACCGATGAACAAGCTGATACAATTCTATCATTCTCGAAAAGAAAGTAGAATACATCGTAATTGAACTGAACATGAACAACAATTTCCTGCAGTTCCCAGCCCAAAGTAATCTATGTTAGTTTTGCTTGCATTGTGTTAAATCACACTGTCACTCCCCTCTAGTCAAAACCCTCTAATCACCAACATCTTTACAAACACTGATTCTAGGACTTCAATAACTCAAGGCATTACAATGATACTCCCGAGGCGGGTTCAGATTCAAGATACTTACAGATCCTCTCCATAACCTCCCTCCCCTTCACGCTGTTCTTCATGAACCTCTCCGCGCACTTCTGCTCCAACTTCTCGGCCATTGATGCCAGAGCAGAGAATGGCTTGATACGAATGCTCGTCTGCTGCTTGCAAACCGTCCACCCACTGGGGTTATCCGGGTGAGGCTCGTACCTTATGCGCTCTTCCACCTCGATGAATTTCTCGAGGCTAATGTTACGAGTCGTGAGCTGCATTGACTTGTTCCGTCCATCCACGACCGTCGACTCCACGCAGTTGCAGATGTCCTGCCCCACGATCTTGCGTATGAACCAGGGCCCCGGTGCGTGGATGATCAGTGCACGAGTAGTGTAGAGCTTCCCAGTCTGAGAGTCGAGCTTCTGGTTCAGCGTGTCCACAGCGAGGACGTGGTTTAATGTTCGCTTGTTCTCCGGGTCGGAGTACTTTCGCCATGATGCTGATGTTACCCTCTCCCATGGATGCTTGTAGACATGCTCCTGTGTGTATGCTTTTACCATCTTTAACTTCTTCTCTTCCTCCCCTGTAGGATCCAAAAATAGTATTAAACAAAGGGAAAAGAAATCCACCAATTCCCAATTTGAGGGAAAAACGAAATGAATCCCTAAATTGTTCAATCGACAGAACCCTTATTTCCAATTGTAATCCGGATTCCTGAGCTAGATTTTAACCAGTAATTCATAGACACCTGTTGTTCATCATCGAGCTGGGGGAGAACTACTAGGGAACAATTTCAATGATCACTCCGGGATATACTTAGCAACTAATTAATTACTCGTTCACTAGCAGATGCGAAGAGTTAACCGGCGAGCTGCGGTAAGATCCGATCAATTACAGAGGGAACAAGACAGAAATGGAACAGCGAGAGAAGGTAGCGACGAAGGGATAGGCTAACCTTTTGAGTGACAGAGCGATGCTGCTTCGGCAGGTGGGTGTCGTCGGCGTAGAGAAGAATTGAGTTCCGGAGTTTGGAGAAGAAGTCAGCCGGCGAGACGGTGGAGAGAGAAAAGCACGGTCGGACTGGTTGAATTGAATGAATGATGGTGGCGACTGGCGACTGACGGTGGTGGACTGGTGGTTTCGGTGACGAAGCTTTTTTGGCCATAATTGGGCGGGCTGAGAATTACGTGGTAAAAAAGCCTACGGGAGTGCAATTTTAAGGCTAAAAGCCCAATACTATAGACCGACCACGGACAGCAAGAGACCCAACAGGCCAAGGTGTAAAGTATGGGCTGCATCTTCCGGTTGTCTAGAACAGCAACGGGGCGTTGGGTACCTCAATATTTGCATCCAAAGTCCAAACCAGTTAGGGCTGGCTATTTGGTCCCGACTGTTTGGTTTTATCGAAAACCGGACCGTATAACTCAGACGGGGACCGGACTGGGACCGGATAGCAAACAATGTAATCTCATCATCGGGCTTAGATTTGAGGTAAAAAATCGGATAAGAGACCCCCAACACCTAAAATCAAGATAAAATTGGGACCGGACTGTATCCAATCCGATCTTTGGTCCTTATATTCCCGAAAAGACCGGACTGAGACCGGATCAATTTGGTCCAATTTAACCGGACCGGACCGTATAGCCACCCCTAAAACCCAGTTATGTTAGGTAATCTTCGTGTGGACAATTATGAAAAGCTGTATGATTTCGAATAAGGTCTTCTTTTCAAATCATTTGAGTGCTTTCTTTGATATTGCGACAAGTTTGGTTGGTCATGGTTCAACTAATTATGTTTTTCAAGATGTTGAGCGGAAATTAATAACAACGGAAGGATACTCTTATGAAAGTATAACCGATGCATATTTGCTAGACTCTCGCCCTCCTTGATTGTCTGTTTGAGTGCAACATACGAAGGAGTAGACCAGAGAGCTGATGTACTCCTTCTAACATATGATTTTTTGGAAAAGAAACACAACGATATAACTTCAAGTAAGCGATTAGGTTTAAGGATACGTCTTTCAATTATCTAAATTCAAATTGATCAAGTCAAAACAACTTCTTTATGCCGAGTAAGTGTTCCTTTTTATAGAAACCTATCAAGATAGAATGACTTCAGAATGAGGTGAGGCACGACAAATGTGGTAACTATTATGATAGTTAATCTTGTGATGAAAGGGTTGAAACGGGGAACTGACCAAGAGTTAAGATATACATATATGCGGGTGAAGTAAGATCCGAAGGTTAAGGTTTAACGAGGCTTTGGAAGAATAAACAAGAAACTAGGGGGGTAAATTAAATTAATCTTGTTCTATGTGGAAAAATATCTTTTTACTACCCCCAATTAATCTGCACAATAATAATAATAATATTTTTGCTTAGAACAAGATAGTGCCATGCACATGCCCTCTTTCACTTATAAACAACTAGTCTTTTACGTACGTGCTTTTTGGATTCTTCTCCTTCTTCTTGATCTTCTTTTGGTCAATAGTTTAATTTGTAGATTAATATTCAATTAATATATGTATATCGAAGTTGAGAAGTTACCATTAGTTACGTTCCATTGTCGAGGTAGGCAGGTGGTGATTGTCGACCATATATCATATTAAATTTTTTACCACCATCAATTTGTAATTTTTTTCCCCCTGTTATATATACTACTAATAATGTAAAGCAAGTCACGAAATATTAAGTAGAATTAACACAAGGTTAAGGATAAGAACAACATTAATTAGTTACAATCCAATCACAAAGTAACTGTATCCAAATTGACATCAAATTCACTCGATCTTATATGAAGCATGGTGGAACTCTAATATCGTGTAGAATAAGGCGAAGGAATAAACAAACAAGGACTTTTTTTTTTCATTGCACAAGTTATTGAGGATACAATTTGATGTCGATCACAACGACTAAAACTAACAGATCTAACATTCCAACCCTAGCTAATAGGCAGTTTTCGCTCCAATTGTCTTTACAAGTTAGAAACGACTAGCTAGCTAGTACTCAACATGCCTGAGTACTGGGTTAGACCCGACCATTTCGAATATGAATATACAATTCGATTTACTTTTGAGTTTGCATATACATTTAAATGCATATTGTAAGTGGGTTTTGTTAGTGAGTGGTATAAGATCTATTATTGAACTCCGCTCTCAACAACTCGAGTTATTAGGACCAACTGGTTCTTGACAGTTTATGCTTACTATTTTTTAATATGAAAGGTTTATGCTTACCTTAAGACTATGGAAATACAAAATTCTACGAGTTTATGATTCTTAGGAAAGATAGACCCTAATCATTGCAACAATGACCAAGTTCTACAGATTTCTGTTTGGAATAGAAGAACTCGCAGATCTTTAAGGAATAGAGGATTAATGCTAACCAATTAAGTAACCTGAGTTTTAAATAGTATATCAAAACTAGTGAAATAAGAATGTCGAAAGGGTACACAAAGTTTCTAGTGTTGGGCCGTGGCAGCTGGCTGATCAATGAATGATCTATCTATTCACATCTATCTGCGTTTTGGCTGAATCGAGAAGCAAAAGAGTGTTGTTGGTAAGTGGTAACTGGTAACTTTATGAGGCCGGCCGGCGGCCGCAGACAGTGCTGACAAATACCAAACTGACCCACGACGATCGACCATGTTCATCGTCATCGGAGACTGAGCTAGCTAGACCGCGGCCGGCCGTGGATTCAATTGAAAAGGAAACTCTTTCCAAAAACAGAATATTCTAACTAGTTTAACATAGACAATATATGGAAGTTATAACTTATATAACGAATATTTCTATCGATTGCTAAAGGGAGGAAGAAGAATGCCATCCATCACGATTTTGTGTCATGAGATGTGATTTTATGAGGTGGGATATGTGGATCTTACTTTCGATCAATATCAGATTCGTTGCTGATGATGATTTTACATATCTCTATTTCGTCACAGTTTTGTTTGATTAGTCGTATTTATGTTATTTAACTCTTTCATATAATGAATTAGATGTGATTCGGTGTCTGGTATAATTTCTCAAATCTCATGAACATAAATTATTGTTGCGCGACGAACGATTACATATATGAACTTATTATTAGAACCTTTAACGATGCATCAAACCCCACTCCGATCCATATGTCATGTGAATCGCGTATCCAACCTCTTAGCACATGATATGTATGAGTATCGGGATTATTACTGCAAGATAAACAAAATACCATGAAATTCGATGAAACTTTATGATTTTTTTTCTGTCTTCAAACCATTGATGGAATAACGAATATAGAAATATATATATAATTAAGCTACAACCCAAAAACCTAATTGAGCTAAAATTCGCTATCTTCCATATCTTCAAACCCTTTTATGGATTTTTTTTCTTCTTTTCTTGTATACTTTATGAATTCGTTTGAATGAGATCACTTTTCCTAATACCACCATCTCCCCCATCTCCTTTTTTTAAATTTTGCACACCCAATTTTATCACTTTTCCGGTTTTCCCCAATGAAACATAAAAATTTCAACCCAAATGATGCATATTATATGCTACATTTCAAATAATTTACTGTACTAAATTGATGCATCCAAACAATCTATTATATCATTTCTCTTCTTGTACATTCACTTTCACTCCACCTCCCAAAAAACATCAACGGTGTGTTGGACGGATCAAAATCCACATTTCTTAAACGTTATACTGGCTTTCATTAATCAGTCGTTTCGATCACTGAGATATTGCTCTTTCTTCTCTGTTTTGGGATAAGCGACGTGGCTTCATAAACATAAATATATATATATATATATACAGTATTTAACTATATATACAAGAGGAAGGACAAACCCTAACCCTAAGCTTATAGTTAGCCTAGCTAATAGCTGCCTGCCTGGCCTCTCCTTTGTTTGCTTTCGAGGCGACACGAGCACTTTCCCGTCGTTTCCTCCCATGCTCTCCTTGGAAACTCTCAAACTCTCTCTCTGAAATATTAACGTGATTATCTGCCTCTTTGTTGTCTCCGTACTGCCCTCCATCTTCCACTCTATTTACCAGTTGCAGCAGCCTGGTTTGCTGCCGGCCATTATTAATGCAAGCAATCACTTTTGTTCTTCTTCGCAGACTGCAAAGAAAAATCGGGATTGATATTGTTTCTTGGAAAAGATCCATCTATATATATTCAGATATAGGCCAGCCAGCCAGCCAGCCATGCACGATCTCGATATGGAGCAGTAGTTAGGGTTGTGTAGCTCCTGATCATTCGTAGGTTTTACCGGGAAGGAATAGCTAGCTAGCTAGGGCAAAAAAACAAACAAACAAAGAGTCTTTTGTATTTATCATGCACGCGATCATATAGATCAGCCTTAAATCCACTCAATTTAAAATGTAACATATTTAGTGATACTCACTTATTAGTTATTACTCATTAATATGGCGGAGGAGCGGGTGATCATTGACAAAAAAAAAAGGTGAAGTAAATTGTTCAAGTATTTACGTGTTTCACTAACGTATATAACACACGCATGCGTGCTAACCTGCGTTCACAAACATAGGAGAATAATTTATGATTCTGGGTAGTGACAAATTCCGTCATTCTAAGTGGGGGAGGGCAAGTCTTACCAAAACTATTATGTATTTCTAAAATTTGTTACAAGTTTTACATGTATTTCTAACTATATTTCGAGGTTATCTGCTACTGTGTAGTTTGTAAGGGCTATCTATATAGAACCCTTCAGTTAACCCAGTACGAAATAGACCACCAATGGACCTACAACATAAAACATATGTGCAAAGAGTCCAGAAAAACTGTGCTACCAATCATAGTTCAGATAAGCAAATTCAAGGCCTTCCCTATATAACTAACTCAATTTATTACATTTTGCACACATATCCAACATCAAATTCGCCAAACTCTTTGATGATCGACCTTTTTTGAGCAATACACAAATTATACATCATCCATGGAATATTGATTCTCGATGCATATACGTAGAGTACGAGTACGAAAAATGGTTCAACTCCGTGGTTTTCTTCGACCGCGTCATCAACATCATGTGTTATGACAAATTTTTTTTTTTGTGACCCTCTTGTTAGAGTCTTTCACGTGTGATTTGGATGGGCAAAAATCTTGAAGTGTAGTGATGGTTAATCAGATTTTGTCGTGAAGAAACATGAAAAGAAATGAAACATCATCATCTATGAAAATTGAAAACAAAGAGGAGTTAAAAACCATTTTAGGTTTGGGGGGGTCAAAATGGTAAAATTTATTGGATGGATGGGAATTGGTCAGAGAGTGGTCAAAGCTGTGGTTGGAATTAATTAAGTAGACGGGGCGTGTTTTTTTGTGCAAAGCATGCAAAGGGGATTATTGGCTGGCTGGCTGACCACGACTTTCAAACCCTAGCTACCTTCTGGCCAGGACAGGGACTGACACGTGTCAGTCACATTCCTCTGCGTTGTGCCGCAATATCTGAATTGACACCACCATTGCTTTTAAATTTAATTACCCGGAATTATATATATATATATATATATATATATATATTTTAGTGACCGCGTATGGCTGGTGGAATCTATTAATAGTTGTAAAATGTTTCACCGTCGACCCTTCCTCTCTCTCCTCCGATGTCTACTGTTTCCAAGGCCGGGAAAGAAAGAAATAAAGAAAGACTAATTAAGGGGTCGTTTGGAAGTTGCGAATGTTAAATCGTTGCATTGTAATGAATCACCATAATACAAATGCATGTATTGATACAAAGTAAGGAGATAAAAAGTATTGAGAGTGATCATAAAGTGATTCGAACGACACTAATCGAGCAGAGGATGAATGTTCTGCCCATTGCTCTTGTTATAACTGCGCTGCTACGGAACGGGAAATCGCCGCAATCGAGAAAGCGAGAATCTTAAACAGACACACGATTTACGTGGTTCACTAATACAACAACGAGTGTTAGCTAGTCCACGCGTGCAGGGAAAGGGTCAGGTTCACTATACTTCGAGGAGATACAGATTACAGAGGACTATGAGAAGTATTTATAGTACTTCTCCTATGTCTATAACTCTAATCCAATCTGGTAAAGGAAAAGTGGTTACAATCAGGCCCAGAACCCGAACCCAAATAACAACGAGACCCCGTGACTTCTAGTTGTAGCGCGGCTGATAGTTCGATTCAATTCACACCAACCATTCTAATTGCAAACTTTTGTATTTGTAGCTATAATTTGTTATTACCTAGACTCATAGTAATTACTTGGCGATAGGGAGAAAGGTAAATGGTGGGTGGAAGCAAGAGGCGTGGGATGCTGCTCCCTTGTTGTGGGGCATCTCAGTCTCATCAGTCAACTTAACTTTACATAAACATCATGGAAAATTTTCAACAAATGAAAAGAGAATTTTTGGGGGAAGTGTGTAAGCTAGTTAAATGCAGCAGCAGCAGCAGTAGCACTGTCTCTACCCTTAAACCATATTATTATAGTTTAAAAAAAAAAAATAGTTAGGTCTTTTGCTTCCTGTTTCTTTCTTCACGGTATGACCAAGCTAGTTAGCAAGATGCTCTACTGTAAGTTATGGGGTTTCGTTGTCTGGTCAGCGAGTCGGGTCTTAGGGACGAAACTTACTAATTGGGATTTCAGAGTCCGAGGTGGCCCTCCGATGTATGGGTTTCTACACATATAATCTTGTCTCTTGAAACTTGTATCTCCTACTGCTACTAGTGAACCACATAAATCTATTAATTATTTATTATTGTATTGTCGATTTTCCGTCGCGTCTAACAAAACTTGTCCATGATGGCCTCTCTATTGTGATTATCTCCTCTCTGCAGAAGAAACTCTTAGTTTTGTATTTTGTCCATCAAATTAAACAAAAGGAAGGAAAAAAAATTGCTTCCTGTGCTCTTATAGAGCTTATGGGGTCTTCTTTTAATTTTTAAGTTGCATAGGCCCATTAGGTTTTTTCTAAGAAGGTGAGAATATGGCCATTAGTTAGGGAGGAAAAGCCAGTCTGAACTCTGCAACTCTTCTGAGCAAAATTTGACATAAACAGCACACAGAGAATCAAACATTGCTACATATGTTTGATCAGACCATCGTCAACCTTCCAATATGTCATGCTCTTGCCGGTCTTTTCACATGTCTTTTTCCCCCTCCCGACCATGAAATAAGAATATTAGTTCTGTCACAGTTAATGGTGTGGCTCGGTTTAACTATGACAAAACCTTCAATTCCCCCATTTTATGGAATGTTGTTTATTTGCAGTAGGTAGTAGATGAAAAAAAAAGACCAATGTGGCTTGCTAGCTAGTTCAAAGTGCATGCTTAGATTACGAAGAAAAAGGAATGAGTCAATGAGATACGAGTTGCCATCGCCTAACCCCCACGGATTGACGTTTTATCGCTCTTTATCTTGATCTTGTCGGTGATCCAACAAGCAATTATAACGCATGCATAGTTTAAACGGTTAAGAAAATTAGGATGGGTTGTGGAAGAAAATAGAAAGCGCGAGGCAAAATAAAATTGATCCGGACATTTGATCTTGTTTAATAGGGCATGTCTCATCTACCTTTTGCTATATGTACAATAGTTATTACAATGGTTGGATGATGAGATTTTTAAGTGATCAAACACAATGTTCATAGTGTTTCGATACGAGGGCTTGTATGGAAGCCGACTCCTCGCCGCACATGTTATGCGTTTGTGCTTGTTCGATGAGACAATTTTTTCTTCTTCTTCATGGTGTTTCTAAACCTCCTCCTCATCGTGAAATTCTCTCAACTTGTGTCGTATCCACGATGCGTTCATTTGTTAGTATAAACATGTATCATTAATTCGAAAAAATAATATGCGATGTTTACTTTGATGAGATCAATAAACGAAATTATGAAGACAATGTGGTTGGAGATTGCACGTATATAGTTAGAGATGGCTGCGCAGATTTGATTTGGTGATCAGATCTCTCAATCTTTCGAATGTTTATCTACGGCTTGTTACCGATCGAGACATTTGCTGGGATTTGTGTATTCTATTTGCTCCTTGCGTTCAAGTGTTGAATAAGAATAATCCCTCCTTTTTTTTTTTTTTTTAAACTACATCAATGGCAGCTAGCTAGATCGCATTAAGCTCTCACCTCTTAGGGCCAATTTTATAATCTGGGAGAAGGGGCACGAAGATCAATTGGGCGGTCAACAGATTTTTACTTGGGGGAACACAAACCAAATCCTGCTTCCAAACAAATTAACTATTCTCCTCTTTTTTTTTTTTTACCTTTTCTTTTTGTCTTCATTGCATAAACTAATTAAGTAGTTAATTACCCATTTGTGTTCTGATTGATTTTTAAAATATATTTGAATAGAAACCTTAGGGTGTAGTATCCAAAGAAGTAAGTTCTACTCGATCTTTTGCATGAGGGTCCATCTAATAATATTTTATGCTAGGGCAAAAAAAAAAAAAAAATTGCATGTCCGTACACACACTCACTAATGGAGTATTCATCTTATATATTATTTAACACATGCAAAGAAGGAGGTGCTCAACTAGGGGATCCACGAAAATTAAGAGGGTCTAGGACTATAGATTGTATACTTAAAAACACATTTGAATATATTTTTTTTTTTTATGAACGAGCAAGTGCTTGTATAGTTGTATTTATTGAATAAATGTTGAGTTTGTAAAGAAGTGGACTAATTAATTCCATGATATATGCAGTAGAAGTACCGATAATCAAAAGTAGGAAGTACGGATAATCAAGATTTCGTCACAGATCAGCAGCACTACAACTGAAATAGAGATTCCAGGCGCTCTAACTAATGAATTGGAATTGAAGAAGAAAGGAGCAGAGATCCAGCCGACACAATAATCTTCCTCTACTAAGAAAACAAAGAGATACATAGTTTTCGAACTGTCCTGATTTAATTGTAGGTTAGCTACTGAAACATGTTCATTGTCAGTTAAATCGATCGTAGGTTTTGCCAATATCATGGTGAAGAAGAAGAAGAAGAAGAGAAATGAGATAAGAGGAAGAGAAGATGGGTGATTGGAGGAGTGTGGGAATGCTGGGCTTTGGGGAGTCATGGATTTGGAGGATTGAGATAAAAATCAATCAATTAAACCTTATTCCATCGACTTCAAGTGGGGTTACATTACAAAGAGAAAGAAGAAATTAATAAAGGGGCTGGGGGTGGTGTTTCCTTGGATTTTTTTTTTCCAGTTGGAATTGACGGTTTGTCTCAATACAAAAAGAGAAAAGAAAAAGTATTTAATGTTTATGATATTAGTTTAGTGTATAAATTGCACATTCGTGTCCTGGTATGGATTCTCTGTACACTTTTTTTTCTTGGCAGAGAGAGAGAAGAGATATTAATTATGTGCATGCTGTTGTTTATTCTTATTTATTTATTTATTTATTTATTAGACTATTGATTAATTTAGTTCATTAATTAATTAACTTAATGAGTAGTATCGGGAACTGTTGCTGGTGGTGTTGAATGTTCATGGTCTATGACCGCTTGCAATGACCATTGCCAAAGTTCAGAAACAAAAGCAAACAAGAAAAAAAAGGTTAAATCTTTTTCTTCTTCTTTTTGAGAGAGTTAGGTTTTCTTATTGAAAGATTATATATGAACATATAATCAATCAATCAAGTACTTTGAATTGGATAGTGAAAAAATTAAGTTTTCTATTAATTACATGTAACTATAATATTCATATTCGAATTTTATCTATACCCCTTTGAATTTTTTATGTTATTCAATCAATCGAATATGATATAATCGTTTATCCCTGTTCGCCCAAACTGAATCAGGGCCATTCAAAACCGAACCACCACCCCAAAACTACCACCCTATATATTTAAAAGTAGGTTTAAAATATGATCAGGCACAACTTGGTGGATCGATTTCCGTGTGTCTGCGTGTATGCCTCCTACATTTGACAGGAGGTAGACAGAGAAGCAAAAGAAACAAAGAAAATAAATTTAACAAAAAGAAGAAGAATTGGCTATAACCCATTATTTTTTTTGTTTTTGTTTACTTAAGTAGCTTCATTTCACCCCCACAAAATTCTCTCTTTTCAGCCTCTCCCCCTCTCTCTTCTCAATCGTCCTCCACTTTCCCTCCTTTTCTCTCCATAGGCACAAAAAAAAAAAAAAAAAAAAAACTACTGAGAGAGCAACTCACTTCAAGCAATAACTCCATTCATGTATGTGATCATCTCTTGTAAACCTTTTCCTCTTCGATATATCGATCTCCACTTCTCCCTCCTCTTTCACTTTGCATATTGAAGGTTTGCTAATATTCTCTGTCTGTGTGTGTGTTCTTTCTTCCTCTTCTTCTTCTTCTTGGTTTACATGCAGAAAGGAGAGATTTGACTTGAAAGGAAGGGATTCAAAAGAGAGGCTGCTCCTGCAACAATGAATTCCAACAACTGGCTCTCCTTCCCACTTTCCCCTACTCATCCCAACTTGCAAACCCATCTCCAGTCATCTCACTCCCACCACTTCTCCCTCGGACTAGTCAATGACACCATGGACAACCCTTTTCATTCCCAAGGTAATCTAATAACTTCCCCTCTACAGCTCGAGTTATTAGTACGAACCATGACTTCTGAACTGACATCGAAACCCAACCAAACAATCTCAATAGAGAAGTGATCCAGTTAATTATTAGAATCTCAAATTTATCAAAAAGGGTTTCATCTGATGTTGCATTTTTTTTGTTTGGTTTTGTGGTGCTTGTTTTTCTTTTGGCCAACCCATAGGAGATTGGAGCCTTGTGAACAGTCAAGCAAGTGATGAAGTCCCAAAAGTGGCCGACTTCCTAGGAGTGAGCAAATCCGAGAGCGACAGCCACCACGCCGGAGATCATCTCGTCGCCTACAACGACCTCCATCACGGCCATCACCACAACGATGCCGCGGCGGAGTACTTGTTTGCCACCGGCGGGACAACCAGCCTGATGCCGGTGCACAACTCCACGGCGGTTGTGGCGGCGGCGGCGGCGGGGGCCGCCGCATCTAGTAACTACGAGTTCCAAGAGAGTGCCGGCAGCCTGCAAGGGCTGACGCTGTCGATGGGGAGCGCCAGCGGGAAGAGCGAGACCAGTGGGGATAACACGAGCAGTACTACAACTGAGGCCGCCGCTCCGAGGAGGACGTTGGATACTTTCGGCCAGCGAACTTCCATTTACCGTGGCGTTACGAGGTCAGTTCGTCTTTCTTTGCACTTTGTTGGGTTTCTAGGGTTTTGAAAGAATTTTTTTTGGTGGGTTAGAGTCAAATGTTACGTACTAAACTCTTCTTATCGATCTTTCGACTATCAAAGACTCTACTTCCTTTCCTTTTGCTCTTGGAATAAGTAGTCAACCGGTGTGAGATATACTTTGCAAGAGAAATCGATCCTAGACATTCGACTTTGAACAAAAACCAACATTTCGTTAATCCGAAATCCGGATTCGGAATGCGTTGGATGTTTTTTCTTAGACGCATGTGCCCTATCAGCGTGTCTCGTTTCTCTAGATTCTAATGTGGGTCATTGAAATGGGAATGCAGGCATAGATGGACAGGAAGGTATGAAGCTCACCTTTGGGACAATAGCTGTAGAAGGGAAGGCCAATCAAGGAAAGGAAGACAAGGTAAATTAAAATGATGAACACATTTTGGATTTTAATTTTATTTACGTATTTTTAGAACATTTATATTCTGACAAAATTCCCCTTTTGTTCTTTTCCTTTACTGATCTCCCCATAATGGTGTAATTCTGCCACTGCCAGTGTATCTAGGTCAGTATATATGCTTACACTTCATCAGATCTTCTGTTCTTTCTCCCTTTTGTTGCAGTTTCTTCTTCTTCTTCTTCTTCTTCTTCTTCTTCTTCTTCTTGTCTTTTTCTATGTCGTTATTGTGTCCAATTATTTTCCCAAAAGTGGAAGTATACTAAAGCTTTGTACGATGATGATGTGGTTCAGGTGGGTATGATAAAGAAGAAAAGGCTGCTAGGGCTTACGATTTGGCTGCTCTAAAGTATTGGGGTCCATCTACTACCACCAATTTCCCCGTCTGTTTTTCCTTTCTTCCCTCTTCCAATTTATTTACACACATCATACATCTTGGCAAACCCTAATCTTATGTTTCAATCTTAACATGGAACTTTTCATTCTGCCCCTTAGATCACCAACTATGAGAAGGAATTGGAGGATATGAAGCATATGACCAGACAAGAGTTCGTAGCTTCCATTCGAAGGTATGTTCGTATACTAACAATTAAATTCGTAGCATCCATTACAATCTTATTTTCGTGTTATATAAGATGCACATAAAGTTTATTTATACGAGATCTAAGTTCATCATGACAATGCCTCAAATAAAATTGCAGGAAGAGCAGTGGCTTCTCTAGAGGCGCATCGATGTATCGTGGTGTGACAAGGTACGGACATATTTTTCTCTCCCATTACACAAATCCTAATCCAAAGAACTTGTCCATTCCATTTCTATACCTTTGAAGTTTTCTCATCCAACAAACTTGGGGGGGAAAAAACAATTTGGAACTATCATCTCAGGCATCACCAACATGGAAGATGGCAAGCGAGGATCGGCAGAGTTGCCGGAAACAAAGATCTCTACCTCGGCACTTTCAGTAAGCCTGCTTTCTTCGCTACCCCACTTTTAATTCAAATCAAAGATTCAGCCTTATATCGCGTCGACCTGCGAACACACAACAAATAAAAACACAAGCTCACCCACTAATAATATTGTCTAAATAGGCACGGAGGAGGAGGCGGCGGAAGCATACGACATAGCGGCGATAAAATTCCGCGGCCTCAACGCCGTCACCAACTTCGACATGAACCGCTACGACGTCAAGAGCATCCTCGAGAGCAACACGCTCCCCATCGGCGGCGGCGCCGCCAAGCGGCTCAAGGAAGCCCAGGCGCTCGAGTCCTCCCGCAAAAGGGAGGAGATGATCGCCCTCGGCTCCACCTACCCTTACGCCGCCGCCGCCGCCGCATCCGGCGGCTCGAGCCGGCTCCAAGCCTACTCCCTAATGCAGCCGACAGCCTACGAGGCCCAGCCGCTGCTCACTCTCCAAAACGCGCCCGACATCTCGTCGTACGACGCCGCAGCGGCGTCGTTTCACCAGAACAACTACCTGCAGACGCAGCTCCACCTGGCGAACCAATCGACGGCTGCCACGTCGTACCAGGGCGGGTCCACGTCGCAGTTCTACAGCAGTTACTTGCAGAGCAACCCGGGGATGCTTCACGGGTTGATGAACATGGAGGCCGGGAGTAATAATAATACTGGCGGTGGTTCGGGTGGGTCGATTTACGGTTCGGGCGGTGGTGGGTTCTTGGGTAGTGGGTTGGGGATGGCGACCGGTGGGTCGGGTGGACAGGGTGGACCGGGGTCCGGAGGAGAGGAAGGGGTTGGGGCGTTGGTGAAGGTGGATTATGATATGCCTTCCACGGCTGGGTACGGTGGCTGGACCGGGGAGTCCGTCCCTGGGTCGAACCCGGGCATGTTCACGATGTGGAATGATTGACCCGACTCGATTGTGGGGTAGACTGTAGAGGAGAAAGATGGTTGGAATTTGGAAGAGGGAGTGGGAGTGGGGGATCATCTAATTAATTAACCCTAAGTTTTAAGGCTAATCTTTTTCGTTGATTTTGTTTTTCTGGTTTTCGGTTAAGAGAGATGATGTGAATCAACTCGTTACTGACCCCTCAAATCTTAATTGATTGATTGGGTTAATTTTCTTTTCTTTTGGGTTATTGGGGACATGTGGGCTTTGATTATGGGTGAATTGCCACCCAAATTTTGTAACCTATATTGCTCATGTGTCTTCTTTGGAGCGAACGTGATTAATTGATATATAAAGTATATCCTCGGCAATATTTTGTGTTCATTTTCTATATTTTGCATGGTCCATTAAACCGTACAGTACCGGCGGTTCAACCACAAAATATCAGTATCGGAGGCTAACCCGATAGGCGGTATTTAACGGTATTAACGGTTGAAACTACGGTTCAACCACGATTTTACCGTAAAAATACTCTACTACTAACTTTTCCGGTACGGTGTCCGATACGGTTTCATGGACCATGATATTTTGTATATCCATAGTGATTAATTTTCCTTTTACACATTCCTTTGGACTTGTTGCTTACATCAAACCAATGTAGTTGCATGCATGAAGAGTGGTCCAAGCGGCCACGTCCTTGCTTGCATGTTGGGCCTGGGCTTTATTCTTGTAACATGGGCCAGGCCGGCTACAGTTGGTGAGCTTTTTGGGGGGTGTACAAACTGCAATTATGGGCTGTAAGATAAGAGATCTGTGTCTTTCTTGGATTCCTTCGGGATCGTTAGTCACGAGATGGGAACAAAGTGATCATGGTTCGTCAAGTTCTAGTTTTCTCACCTTATATATTTGAGGGGTTGGTTTTTTTTTCTCTTGGATTCATATATAGTAGATAGTTTAGATCCCAAAATGGATCCTTGATAGTGTTATGTTCCTCTCTATTTAGGGTGATCGAATTTGTATCTTACTTCTCCTTTCAGATGATAATAATGAGTCTGTTACAACCCAGCAGAGCGAGGCTGGTGAAGACTGAAGTATGTGTTACAGGTGCGTTCCAGTATACATGACGGTGTTTACTGATCCATTTGTGGTGGAACTTCTAGCTCTTCAATCTTCATGAGCGTAGGAGACGGAGTAGACCGAATTGATTAATGATTGTTTGTGGCAACACAAATATTGTCCGGGACATATGCAACAATCATCAGACATGAGACATGAGTTTACTATTAGATACAATCTCATAATATCATCATGCATTATCGTATTCGTGTTAAGTAAATTTCTTCCATTTTTTCAATTTTGATCTCTTTTTTTTTTTTCTCTCTTTCGTATTACTATTTTTGTTTTCTTTAATTGGGAGTTGTAATGGATCGTCGTCCGGCGGCAATGATAGGTTACTTGAATTCGTTCGTGCCATCAATTAGTGCCCACGATCTGTTAAGAAATTAAACCACCACCATCCCAACCAGTTCAATGATTACACGTTTTGGTGTCTGTCATTTTATACAGTGAAAGCTGTATTTCCACCACCGCTATTACCACTACCGCCACCGACCAGCTTTTCTTCTCATGGCTTCTACTATTGTGATTTACAAGATTTAAGTGGTGTGAATTCGACGTATTCAAAATCCATAACTCAAATTCATTCGAGATTTTCAAATCAGTCCAATCTGCCTTGTCAATTAATGTAAGCTTCATTCTTTATGAGGGTTTGGTAATTAGGTATATAGTTTATGTAGAGATATGCATGCATGACCAGTTTTTTTTTTAATATATATAATATGCATGAACAATTAATTAATTAATGCTGATTGCACTCCCGCTGTCACGTCCCTAATTGCCTGGCTGTTGGGCCCTGGGCCCCTGGGCTTGAGGCCCTACGGATCTTACATTTTTGGGCTCTCTCTTTCTCTCTCTCTCTCTCCATGTATCCAAATTATTAGAATTCGTTCGTGGGTGGCCTCGTGCTTACAGTACGTACTCTCAAGATAACATTAACTAAACCTAATTAAAAGTAACCTTTTAATGACCCATTTACCTTTAATTAAGAGAAAATTAAAGGGTGATTGCTGATTAGCATATAGATCTATATATAGTTTTTGTTGAAGGTAGTGGAATCATGGCCGACAAGGCCATCATCAAAGTATATATGCCTTTTCCGGTTTTCCCCCCTCCCTTTTCTAACTTTTACATGGGTTATGTAAAGAGTGGAATTTCTCTTTTAAGATGGGTATTGGGTTTTTATGGAGGTAAATTAAATGACAAATTACCAGTATGTATGAGAAGAAAGAAATGAAATGTACTCTTTATATACGACAAAATCTCGATCGATAAAAAATGTTCATCGCTTTATATCATACTATAACTCGTCATTGAGAAATTTAGGTATAATCTAGTATCTGTAAACTTGTGTTGATCGTCACCTAATCTCAATAATCAGTAATTCTAATCGACCACTTGTATAGTTAATTAAGTTCTCGTTGTGGTACACACCATTATGATTCTGACCATAACCCTCCAAAACCACAATTAATCGTCAATAATTCAAGCTTAATTTGGTAATCTTTCTACCTCCAACACCATCCAAACTAAAAACAAAATACACCTAATTGTATAATTTCTGGTTCCCCACAACCACTGAGTCTTTCAAAGGTGGAAGCTTACATTTCTTCCCACCAAATGATGGCAGACAGGAATAACTCATATTCTACAACTATCCTCTTATTAATTTCCTCCCTTAAAGTGGGGTTATAATGCTTCCAACATTTGGCTCCAAAGATAGGGCCAGCAAGGTGAAAAGAAAACAGTATAGAAAGATTTTGTGTGCCCTAAAGTTACAATATATGGGGTTTTTCTCTCTTGGGTGGATCCTTTTGCCCAAAGAATTGCTTCTATATATCTATGGCTTTCTAGTGGAAGGAGAGGAAGATAGATGCCAATTTCTAAAGCATATATATAACTATAGCCACTCTTTTAATTTGTAACATATATATTCCACACCTGTCATAAACCAGTTGGTCCCAATAACTCGAGTTGTTGAGAGAAGCTTATGCTGGATCTTATACAGGTCCGTGTGTGGTGCTTAACCACTTCCTTACACGCCCCCTCAAACGAAAGCCGACTCATGGGCTTGAAGTTTGCACAGGCCCGCCATACCATGTGCTTGAAAGACTACGGTTAATATTGGGGGTCGTGAGAACTTGAACACGTGACCTCACGGACAAATCACCTCTGATACCATGTCAATAACCAGTTGGTCCCAATAAATCGAATTGTTGAGAGAAGATTATGCTGGATCTTATACAAATCCGTGGGTGGTGCTTAACCACTTCCTTACAACACCCTTTTCCAATTCCCCTTCCTTTCTTTGTCATTCACATGTTCTCTTTTCTCTTCGTGGGTTACCTACCTGGTTAATTAATGACAATTAGCCTACACAACTAATGTAATGAGTTTGTCCAAGACATGGACTACATTGTCACATGACACTTTGTTCTGTGGTGGTGGCGCCCCTTTTGATAAATAAGCAAGCAAAGTTTGATTAATTCCTGATTTTTTCCCCCTCATGCAGCCCAGATACTCTAGAAAGAATATGATTTGATTAGTCTGGTAATCGTTTGATCGATGAATTGGTTTATCAAAAATTTAGTTTCTTTTTTGTCTGCGAGATGATAATTAGATGAGTTCGAATGTACATTTTAATTGTCATGAAAAGTTTATCGATCGCCCCGATTAATTAAGCCTAGTAGTTATATTCTCTATATTTGGCCCGACTTTTAGAAGTGCTTTTCGACTTCAAAAGCTGAAGCAGGGCCAAACGCCTCTAAAAGCTCGACTTTTGAGAAGCCGAAAAGCGCTTTTGTATAACATAAAAGCAGAAGCTCCGATTTGGAGCTTCTGCGAAAAGATGTTTTTGAAAATACAAGATTATCCTTACCATATTTTAATTTTATTTCAGAAAATATAATTTTCCTTCATTTATATCATTTTAAAAGTAAAATAAATTATAAAATCATATTATTTAATATAAAACAAATCTAACAAGATTCATTTTGACTAATTTTTATTGTTTAGAATTTTTATTTTTATTTTATATTATAAGTTCTTTACAGTCATTTTACACAACCGCTCATATTAAAAAACACTTCTAATAGTTTTACAGCCAAATACTAAACTGCTTTTTTTTAAAAGTATTTATCTAAAAGCTCCAGCCAGAATATACTTCTGCAAAAGTTACAGCAGGGTCAAACTAAGCTATTATATATATCTAGATTAATCGATTATGTTAGTTAATTCGCATTTCCGATCACATGTTTTCTGGTGGATAATTGAAAATTTGATGAGTATTTGGCTGTGGTGGCACCATCATCATCCACCTAAAATGGGGCACATAGAACCCCTAGGTAGGATACAAGAGTAATGATGGTGTCAAAATTATTGAACAAGGAAAGGAAATGAAGAGAAAGAGAGTACTCATTGATTATGAATTGGATGGACTTTGAGGCTAAGAAAATTCTCCGAAGGGAGTTGATCAACTGGAATTAACATATACGGATTTGCATGTAGATCCCATCTTCCCAAATTAAGATTATTTTGGAGGTCACTCAAATTCTTGGTATTTATAAAGTGTATTTCGATACATTTATCTTAATCTCTTATATTATTGTTTATATTATAAATAAATTCTCTTGCAAGATAAATTAATTCCATGTCGTTATTCCTTTTACCATTGTAATTCATATAACTTCGTATAACTTGCCTTGCAAGGAAAGCGTAGAACCTGAAAGATTAGGACACGTACAGTAGCTCTCATGTCCTATACTTGGATACAAGTGAGTGTAAGCAATCGGGGAAAATACGGTACAATCATTTTGGTGGTTAAACGAAGTAACAGCAACGAAAATAAAATACAAGATAATCATTTTGAATTATTTTAAAACCAAAATTAGAGTTTCTTGTCAATATTCCTTTTGAAAATACAAGATAATCCTTATAATTGTTTACATAAAATATATTTTTATTTTATTTTGTATTATTTTAAAACCAAAATAAAATATAAAATAATTTTATTTAATACACCGGGAAATGAAAATTATCGATTTCGAATTTTTTTTGTTTCTTATCCATATTTTATATTAGAAATAGTTATTTAGTTACTTTTCATGATCTCTAGTATTAAAAAGTAATTCTAGTAATTTATCAGCCACACACTGAACTGTTTTTAAGTACTTCTATGAAATATAGATCTAGAATTTGCTCTTGAAAAAATGACAATAGCATCAAATCAGCCCCTATATGTGTACGAGGAAAAAACACCAATGATCGTTTTATCAGTAATTAAATTACTCTAATAGATTGAATTTTGAAAAATATTTAAAAATAACTTATACCATTTATTGAATTTTGTATGTTCGCTTCAGTCGAATATCCCTTCGCCTCTTCAACCTCCCGGGAAAAAAAAGTTCAAGAGGGAGAAACCCGTGTAAATATCAATAACTCCCTTCCATAGATAGACTCTTTTGTTTATACAAGTCGATCTTTTACACATTGTGTAATCAAAAAGATATTGGTTCGCATATGTAGTACAACAGAAAAAACTATCTTTTACCAACCACACTACTGGTGACTAAAAGTCTCATTGCAGGCTAATATGTGTCGGCTTGCTTGTTCATAAACTCACGCACGGTCCAGCCTACTTAACATCAAATCAATTGGGACAAAGTCACGATTGTGTTTTGTTTGCATCCCAAACCCACCAAAAAAAGACCAAACATCTGATTCATCAAATCTCCATCTCCGATTTCTCCTCTCCTTTGTCTGCCTCTAAATTCAGTAATGTACTGATCGATGTCCTCTCATTATCGGGAGCTAGTTAGCTCTCAAGAACCACTAGGAAAAAAGTAGAGATCGAGTTATTGCTCATTGTGCATCCACATTCCACACGGTGGGAATATTGAAGAGGATTATTAGCTGGCCAAGTGGAAAAGGGAGGAGGCCTATAGCTTTGGGAGCATAGCCATGTTGTTTACACAATTATGGATATATCATGGAGGAGCGTACCAGTCGTCTCCATATATATGGGTCAGATTTGTGTGCTCCGGGAGCATACTATGTTCTATATAGTAATAGTGAGATATCTCTATATAGATCATGAATTAAACCGAGTTTGGGGTATGATATACTATACCCTAATCTCAAATGGATAAACCTCAGGCTCCAATTTTCCAATCTCAAACCCAAAAGTTCAATTTAAGAGAAAAAGAAGAGTTAACCGTTGAGATTGGCCGGAGCTAATCCATGCAAATCTAACGGTCATATCATCTGGAGTCTGCTATGCTCCTGGAGCGTACCAGTCGTCTATATGTGTGTGTCTACCTGCTTCTAGTTTTAGCCGTTTTCGAACACCAGACCTTCTTATTAGGACGTATTAAGAGTAGGCCTTTGACATGAAGATCCAGGCTTATAATTAAAAGTTGCTAGACGGACCTATTCAAAAATGTTGAACTTTTGAAACTCCTGATTTTTCATTTCTTCCTTTAGGGGTCGTTTGGAGAATATGAGTTTAAATTTATAGATTTTCAACAATCTAAAGATTCTAACTCTTCGGATTGTTGAAAATAGATTTTAAAATGTTTATTGTTTGGTAACTATGAGTGTTAACATTCAATGAAAATAAAATAAATTATTTTTATATTAAATAACGTGTTTATCTTTAATAAAAAATTAGAGTGGTTCGAGAAATATTAAAAACTTTGTTAGTAAATATATTTAATATGATAAATAAATAAAAGAAAGAGAAAAGGTATGAGGAAAAA